TGCCAAGAGTGTTGACTGTGGAGCCAAGCAAACTAAAGCTGTGAAATCTCAATCTCTTCACCATCCATCCTGATGCTGCCAATTGGTCCAATGGTGAGAATCTTTGTCTTCTTGACATTGAGCCTCAATCCATATCTAGGAGTCTGAAATCTCAATTTAGATGGACCAGCTCCAGAAGGCATTTTTGGGGAAAAGTCCTTGTCATCAATTTTCCCTTGAGTCTAGGAGTGTCTGAATGCTCATGTTCAAATGCACACTCTGAGGAGTCTGACTCATCTCTCTTGGTGGTCCTCAGATCCCTCCTTTTCTGCTCAAGTCTCTACACTTCCCTAATTTAAGATGGGAGGTGGTGCACACCACACCTCATGGAAACTCTCCTTACATAAAAGCAAGACTTCCACATGAATACCAGAGCTGCACCCCACCCTAACTCCCTTACAATTTATTTGCTGATCACATCAGATCACATTGTAGTGGATTATTGCATGGATTATTAGTGCCAAATTATAGCATAACTGCTGACTGGGTATCGTGACCCAGCCTCAGTGACACATTTTCTGGACGAAACAATTAACCAATGAAAGATGGTAGTTAGTTTTTGCCCTATCAACCATCATCTTAAAAATATAAGAAAAGTGGTCTGTTGTGTTTACTTATTTCACCTTTTCTCTTTCTTTCTCAGCATTCCTGATGTTCCAAGTTTCCTACCATTATAATTTATTTTCTCTCTGAGATTGTGAGGATGGTGCAGAATAGGACAGGATTTCAGTATATTGTGCATGGTAACATCTAAAATGAAAGAACAACAAAATATTGTTTTCCCTTAAAAATTTTCTATGTCTGGGCGAGCTCTGGTGACCTGGTGGCAAGAAGCTGCACTGCAATCCCAGAGATGAATGGTTTGAATTCACCATTGATGCTGTGCTGGAAAAGGAGGGACAATCTCCTCCCGTACCAGTCAGATCTGATTTGATGATACACACACAAAAAATAATAATAATAAAACCAAACTAAATAAAATCTTCTATGTCTGGTGGCCTAGTGGCAAGAAGCTGCAATGCAGTCCTGAAGGTGCAAGGTTTGAATCCACCAGATGCTCCACTGGAGAAGGAGGGGCAATCTCCTCCTGTGCCAGTTGGCACAATTCAATGTCACACAACAACTGCAGCAGCAATAAAAGTTTTCTACAGCAACTGGGATAGAAATTAATCTCTTCTTACACTAACTTCATGTCCATTTCTATCTGCAATATAGCATATGTCATTGTCCTCTATGTACATCTGTTCTTTACCTTTGGGTTTTCCCAGGAGACTGATATTTTAGGGCTACACTGTCATTACATTGATTTTTAAATTGTCTCCACATGTAATTTAGTTAAGTGAGAAGAAAACTGAGCAGCTGAGCTTCAGGTGCCAGAATATGGAGTGTCTTTTTCATTGCTGCTCTCAGTCTTCATCACAGAGCCTTTGAGGGAGGGATGGTCCCTCACATTTTTTTATAGAAGAAGAGTTTAGCAAATGTGAAGCAGCTTGCCCATAGCTAGTGAGCTACAGAGCTCTGGTTTACATATGACTCCAGAGCAACAGTGCTTTTCTCCGTATCTGGTCCCGAGCCTTAAGACTGGACCTTATGATATCCCTTGATGTTCTGCTTTCTAATAGCTGTTAAGGAATAAGACATTGTCTTCTGATTGAATGAATCTAATTTGCTAAGAATTTATCTGTACCAGAGTAAACTTAGAAGGAGCTCTAAGTTTGCCTAGTTAGTGGTAAGGAGCTGCAGTGCAATCTCAAAGGTATTTAATTCAAATCGACCAGCTGCTCCGCTAGATATAGATGAACTGTCTCCTCCCATACAATCAACTGCCTCTGAAAACTTGGAGGGTCAACTGTGGGTTAATTCTGGCTCAACGGTACACAACAACGAACAGCAACAAACTTGTAGTGACCATAACTCTGATTGTTTTGTGGGTACAATATGCTGAATTACTTCTCCCCTTTTAATATATTCTTGATGAGATAAAACTTGTTTATTTTGTCACAGTTACACCCTCAATTCCTCATTGTAGAGCCTGGTACTCACTGGATTCATACTTGTTGAATATTTTACTGAATGTTTCAAAAAGAACTTCCCAATCCTTTAGGTAATTGAATTTCGGTGTCATTCAGAGGAGGAGGAGAAAGGAGAGAAATAAAATCGCTCTCAAAAGACCACACTAAGATTTTGGGAAGTAGAAGAGGTTATAGTAATCAGTCTTTCAAGTCCACATTTTCCAGGGTATGAGACATTGTATGTAGAGGTAAAACAGTGTGCCGAATTGCAACAGAAAATGTGTGGCACATTGTAGAATTAATATTTCTAATTTATCTTAGTTTGGCACACCCTCCTCATCCCCCCCCCCACCTCCCAGTGCCCACCTTTGTCTTAATTCAGAAGATGTGCATGTTCGACTTTTGCTAACTCTTTTTCAGTTTGTGAAGAAATATGGAAACCTCCTTAGCTTGGATTTAGGATACTTCTCTAGTGTTACTGTAACTGGATTGCCTTTAATCAAAGAAGTCCTCGTGCACACAGAGCAAAACATTTTGAGCCGCCCCGTGACTGCTATTCGATACCGTGTCTTTAAGAAACATGGTAAGTATCTTGAATATAAGATTTATTTCTTTGATGTTTCTTTAGGTTGTTTAAAGTGTCTTTGTGACCTTAACTAACTCCTCAACTCTCCCAGACACCTGGGTTGTTATAAAATTCCTGTCTTGAGAGGGAGTTGCATGTCTATGTTTCTCATTTTAAGATACCTGCTGTAAGAAGATGTCCTATCAGTCCTAATGTCAGGGTTTCAGGAAAAGTTAGACTTCTTGCAAAATCTCACTCTGGATGCATCACAATCAAGGAACGGGGAGGAGGATTTATGGTTCAAAATGGCTTATCTAGGCCCTTGCCTTTGACTTTTGCACTTGATTGGGCAGGAACATGCAAATGTTGTTGTTGTTGTTGTTATGTGCCATCAAGTCGCTTGTGACTCATAGTGACCCTATGTACAACAGCCCTAAACTCTGCTCTGTCTTGTGCCAATCGCACTGTCTCTGACACTCCCATCCCGATTATCCCAGCCACTGAATCAGTCCACCTCATAGAGGGCCTTCCCCTCCTGCGCTGTCCCTCCACCCTCCCAAGCATGATGTCCCTCTCCAAGGACCGGTCTCTCCTCACAACATGTCCAAAGTATGTTAGACAGAGCCTCAGAATCCTTGCCTCCAAGGAGCCACCCGGTTTAACCCTTTCCAGGACAAATCTGTTTGTTTTCCTAGCAGTCCATGGTATTCTCAATACTCTTCTCCAGCACCACAGCTCAAAGTCATCAATTCTTCTTCTATCCTCTTTGGTCATTGTCCAACTCTCTGATGCATAACAAGTGATTGTGAAGACCATTGCCTGTATCTGATGCACCTTAGTCTCCAGAGAGACACCATTGCTCTTTAGTACTTTGGAGAGGTCCCTAACAGCAGACTTTCCCACAGCAATGCGCCTTTTAATTTCATGGCTACTGGTGCCAAGAGTGTTGACTGTGGAGCCAAGCAAACTAAAGCTGTGAACAATCTCAATCTCTTCACCATCCATCCTGATGTTGCCAATTGGTCCAGTAGTGAGAATCTTTGTCTTCTTGGCATTGAGCCTCAAAATCCGTATTGTAGGCTGCAGTCCTTGACCCTCTGCAGCAGGTGCTTCAGGTCCTCCTCAGTTTCAGCAAGCAGGGTTGTGTCATCTGCATTTATCAACAATCGGCGTTATGCAGATGACACAACCCTGCTTGCTGAAACATACAAATAGGATGTGTTAAACTACACACAATAAAATTGGTTAGCTTGGCTATTCTACCAGGTTTAAATCGAGCATGTTCAGCATCAGTAATTTGAGAGTTCCAGTGGCCTAGAGTTAAGAACCTGAGCTGTGGGCCCCGAATGCAGCTATTTGAATCCACCATGGCTCTGAGGGAGAAGAATGTGCATTCTCCTCCTGTGTGATTGTTTCTGAAAACTTTCTAGAGGGTGAGCTAAGGATCAGTTCCAACTTGACAGTACTCAAAACAAGCAACAAGAAAGAAGGAACAAAGAGTGCAGCATTTCTCCTTTGGGGCCAGCAGTTCCTGTTACTCAGACGCAGGCCTTCAGGAGAGCATCCACAGCAAGAGAACTAGAGATCCATCTGGAGACAGAGGTGACCTAGGACTGCTACCCCACGCAGCTTTCACGTAGACTTGCTGAAGGACTGGGAGTTGGGGATGGGGTTGTGGAGCTGGGAAGTGGGAATGGCAAGAAAACAAAATTAGCAAGACTATGGGCAGAATATTGAATGATCCAGGAAGCATTAAAAGAAGATGGAAGGAGTATGCAGAGTCATTGTATTAAAAAGATTTGGCTGACACAGAAGAATTTCATGAAACAATATGTGATCAAGAGACAATGATGATGAAGGAGGAAGTTTAAGCTTCTTTGAAGGAATTGACAAAAAACAAGGCCCCAGGAACGAATGGAATACCAATTGACATATTTCAATAAACACTGGCAGCTCTGGACATGGCCACCAGGTTGTGCTAAGAAATCTGGAGAGCTGTTAACCACCTGATCAATGGACTGGAAGAGGTCCATATTTATTCCATTTCTAAAAAAATAAAAGGTGACCTAACGAAATGTGGAAATTATTAAACAATATCATTAATATCATACAAAAGTAAAATCCTGCTGAAGGTTATCTAAAAACAACTGGAATTGACAGAGAACTACCAGAAATACAAGCCAGATTTAGAAGAGGCCTTGGTACCAGAGGCATTATTGCCAACGTCAGACAGATCTTGGCTGAAAGCAAAGAATCCCAAAGGAGTATCTATCTGGGTTTCATTGAGTATGCAAATGCATTTGACTGTGTAGATCACAACGGATTGTGGCTAATGTTGAGAAGAATGGGAATCTGATTGGTCGTTCTCATGTGAAATCTATACTTGGACCAAGAGGCAGGCATCAGAGCAGAGCAAGGAAATAACTGCATGGTTCAAAATTAGTAAAGGGGTGCATCAGAGATGCATTCTGTCTCCATACTTTTCAGTTTGTATGTAGAACAGGTCATTTGGGAGGCTGAACTTTTCTGAAGAAAAATGTGACATCAGCATTGGAGAAAGACTCATCAACAGCCTACATTATGCAGATGCCATAACTTTGTTTACTGAAACTGAGCAGAATCTGAAGTGTTTGCTGCAGAGGGTCAAGGACTGCAGTAATCAATATGAATTCAAGCTCAACATCAAGAAAACAGATTCTCACCAGTGTGCCAATTGGCAGCACTGTGATAAAAATTGATATTGATGTTGTCAACAATTTCAGTTTGCTTGACTCCATAATTAACACTCTTAGCATCAGCAGTCAGAATATCAAAAGATGGATTGCATTAGGAAAATCTATTGTTAGGGACCTCTCCAAAGTACAAAAGAGCAATGGTGTCAGTCTAGAGACTAAGGTGTTCCTGATTCAGGCCATGGTCTTTGAAGTTACTTGCTATGCATCAGAGATCTGGACAGTAATTAAAATAAACAGAAAAAGAATAGATACTTTTGTATTGTTGTGCTGGAGAAGAGTATTGAACATACCATGGACTGCAAAGAGCCCAAACAGGTCTATCTTGGAAAGGGTGAAACCAAGCTGCTTCTTGGAGGCTAGGATTTTGAAGCTCCATGACAAACTTTGGGCATGTGGCCAGGAGAGACCAGTTCTTGGAGAAGACCATCATGCTTAGAAAGGTGGAGAGAGCATAGAAGAGGAAGGCCCCTGGTGATATGGGTTGGCATAGTAACTGGAATAATGGCAGTGGGTTTGTCAGAGACAGTGAGACTGGTTTAGAATAGGGCAGGATTCAGAGCTATTATACATAGGGTCACTATGAGCTGCAGGCAACTCAATGGCACATAACAACAACAACAACAATAAGAGATCTTTATTAACATTGGCCTAAAGCTGCAAGGCTGAAAGAAGAGCCTTGGGAGCATGCTTCAGAAACTGTCCTGACAAAGAAATTCTATCCTATTCCAGACTGACTTTAAAGCTGCTCAGTTCCCTAATCAACTCCGTAATCATGAGTATGATTCTGTGAGGTCTTAGTAGCTTTTTAGACCAAGTACAACAGGAAGATGACTGTTGGAATTAGTAGAAATATGCAGGAGAGTGTAGGGGACATGCCTAATCTCATGGGAATTAGTTGTGTACTGTGGATGCTCTTTGTGGAGACGGTGCCCCCTTTTAGAGTTTGTAGAGGTCAGACTTGTCCATGCTAAAGCTACCCTTGCTTTTTTGACAAGTAATCCCATGCTGCAGGAGAATACAAGAAGTAGGAACATCTTCTTTCATTCTAAACTTTACTTGCAGAAAGTGAAGACAACTTGTAGCACTTGAACCTGAAGATCAAACACTACAGCCTTCAATATAAATTACATCTCAACGTCAAGAAAACAAAAGTCCTCCCCACTGGTCCACTCGGAAATATCGTGATAGATGCAGGGGAAAAAATTTGAAGTTGTCAATTTAATTTTACTTGTACCTGTTCTCAATACCCATAGTAACAATTGTGGTATTTTCAGTTTCTTCCACATATCTGAAAGTTGGAACGAATAAAGATGACAGAAGAATTAATGTTTTTAAACTGTGGTGTTGGAGAAGAGTACAGAATATCCCATGAAATGCTGAAAGAGCAAACAAGTCTGTCTTGAAGAGCTTACAACCAGGGTACTTCTTAGATGGAAGAATTTGGTCATGATTCCAGGAGAGCTCATTCCTTGGAAAAAGACGTGCTATTAAAGGTGGAGGGTCAGAGAAATCAGAGATTGTGAAGCCAGCACAGGATAGGGCATGGTTCACATCTGTTGTTCATAGAACTACTGTGAATGATAGTTGGCTCCATGGCATCTAACAGCAGCCATGTCTCCATACAGATTCTATGAACACTACATGTCATTCTATATGAAAATGATGTGATAAAATGTCTGGTATTGGAAGCATTTAGTAAACATTATCCATTATATCCATTGCGTTGGGATAATGTCTCTTAATAGATTTCAAGTGCTTGATGACTCTTCCTTTGCTATATCTGATAACCTATCTCTGTATCCTCTGTCAAATGTTCATATTATAGACTCAGAATATATAATGCTGACATTCTTTTATCCCAGGGTTGCTCATGTCCAGTGGTCAGGAGTGGAAGGAGCAAAGAAGGTTTGCCCTGATGACACTTAGGAACTTTGGTTTAGGAAAGAAGAGCATTGATGAACGCATTCAGGAGGAGGCCCACTACCTTGTGGAGACAATACAGGAGGAGAAAGGTGAGCATTTCCTAGTAAAGCTTGTAGGAGTTTGTTCATTCATTAGTGGAAGAGATCCTCATTGAGTACATAGGCTTCTTTCTTGTGGCTATCATTGTACTAAAAACTAAAGCTGTAACAGTGAGAAGTTACTAACATTTTAATCATGGAATTCATGATAAGAAGACAGGCATTATCTGAGTACTGCTATCTGTCAGATTCTGTGTGGGGTGCTATAACCATAGCCACATATATATTTTGTGCCCTATGTCATATAAATTAGATTTTCCTTAGAAAGCAGAAGCAAGTCAATCTGAAGATTCTTTTTTTCCTTATTTTGCCTGCAGGACAGCCTTTTAACCCTCACTTTAAGATCAACAATGCCGTTTCCAATATCATCTGCTCCGTTACCTTTGGGGAGCGCTTTGAGTACGATGATGCTCGGTTTCAGGAGCTGCTAAAGTTGCTGGATGAAGCCACATATCTAGAAGCTAGTATGTGGTCTGAGGTAAACAGCTATCTTTCTTTGTGTTCGAAAAGGATATTGGAACTGTTGTCATACACAGATGAATTCTTCCTTTTTTAGTTTATTTTGCTATAATACACTATTTTAATTTAACTTTAAAAAAAAACCAAACCAACGTCAGCTCGATTTCTCAATTTGTTGATTACCAGGAGGTTAGAGCTGTGACTAGCAGTGGGCTTGGCCTGAGGCTGGACACCTGTTTGGTAGAAAGCAGAAATGCTTTTCTAGAATGATGAAAGATAGAGAGGAGGAAGAGGAATATGACTCCCAAGATTTAAGTGCAAGCAAATAACAAGAGGAAATGGTTTCTGTTGTCTGAAAACGGGGGAAACGGCAGTGTTTTGTCTCCATGATTGTTTTGTTTTTATTAATCAGCTTTACAGTATCTTTCCATGGCTAATGAAATTCCTTCCGGGACCACACCAAACGGTCATTAGAGACTGGGAGAAATTGAAACTGTTTGTTTCTCGGGAGATTGAAAGCCACAAGAAAGATTGGAATCCTGATGAACCTAGAGACTTCATTGATGCTTACCTCACGGAAATGACAAAGGTGAGGCAATCAAAGGTGTTTCCTATATTTTTTTTCTCTCAGATCAAGTAGGAGGCCATTAGCTTGCTGTTATTTTCTGTAATATATTATCATAAATTTGGTGGCTTAAAACAATAACAAAAAGTTACCATAAAGCTTCAGAGACCAGAAATCTAAAATCAGTTTTACAAGGGCAAAACCTCAAGCAACAGTAGTGCTGACTTCCGCTGGAGCCTTTGGGGAAATTTTGTTTTCTCGTATTGTCTGGGTTTTAGAGGCTACTTGCATGATTTGACTGAACAACTTACTTACATTTCATCTTCAAGGCCAGTATCGTAATATCTCGCCTCTGATCATTTCTTCCTTCTGATCTTATAGATATTAATTTGTTTGAAGTGCCTACATTTTGGTACCGAATCACTATACCTCCATGACTCTCTTGTATATAAGGCAACAAATTCACAGGTTCCAGATGTAATGTTTCTTAGACTCTCACCATATACTTTCAGCATGTTATTAGGAGATCCAGGCCCTGAAGAAAGACATTGTGCTTAGTATAAGGCCAGTAAAAAAAGAAAAAAAAAAGTAGACGACCCTCAGTGAGATGGAGTGGCACTGGTTGCAGCAGCAGTGACTGTGTGGGAGACACAGGTAGAGACACTCTTTCTTTTTGTCATACATAAGGTCATTCTGAGCTGGAACTAATTCAATAGCACCTAACAACAAGGGCTTAGGACATGAACAACACAGAAAGTTACTGTTTATTCTTCCACAGAAGATGAAAAAAGGGCATTATTTCAATGTGTGAAGTAACATTAACTCACTATTATTGAAATATTTACAAATAAAAATAGAGGTTTAAAGGTATTGGACTTGAAACCCTGGAAATAGCTAAATGTGCCTTCTTATTTCCCTCTATTCTCAACTCTACCCATATCAAAAGGAATGATTTTTTGTTGATGTTAGTTGCCCTTGAGTCTAACTCATAACGACCCTCTGAACAACAGATCTGAACTCTGTCTTATCTTATTGTATGCTGACAATCTCTGATATATTTGAGTCCATGGTGCAGTCACTGTGTCAGTTCATCTTCTTGAAGGTCTTCCTCTTTCTTCTCTTTCTAAGTATGATGTCTCTCACCGAGGAAGAGCGCCTCCTAGCAACCTGCCTCAAGTATGTCACACAAAGCTCTATCATCTCTTCCTCCAATGGTCACACACGCTGCACCTTCTTCAAGTCTGTTTGTTCTTTTGGCAGGCATTTGGATACTCAATATTCTCCAACACAACAGTTCAAAGGCATCAATCCTTCTTCTGTCATCCTTATTCATTGTCCAACTCTCAGATGTGTAGCAAGTGATTGAAAAGATCATGACCTGAATCAGACGAACCTTAACCCTCAAACTGACATCATCATCTAAGCCGTGATATTTTCAGTTGCTCCCTAAGCTTCTGAAAGTTGGACAATGAATAAGGATAACAGAAGAAGAATCAGTGACATTGAGTTGTGAATTTGTACTTGTAAAGCACATGTTAAGAACTTGTTGAGCACCAATTACAAATCAGGCATTTAATCATGTGATGTGAAGAGATTATGATCATTTTATGAAACAGGAAACTGAAGCACAAAAATATTAAGTAACTTGTTCTAGGTCATACAGCTAGTGAAGATGTGACTAACATTAGAACTCAGATGTGTTTTTTTACATCCTGTTCTCTATCCACTGTACTAATATATTGTTCTCAAATTTTAGGTCTAATGAAAAGACGGTTCTGTCTTTTATCTGTCAAGTTCCTGGAAACTCTTGTAACTTCTTGTATTTAGAGCAGGATGATGCTAATGAGATTTATGACGTAGGTTATTATACCTTCTGACAAAACCAAGACATTTTTGCCTTGGATCTGGCTTGTTAGATTCCTCTCATTGGATGCTGTGTTTTGTGTTTTGTGGTATCTGACTTCAGAATATATCAGTAATATTTTTATTTATAGCATACAGATAATACTACTTCAAGTTTCCATGAAGAAAGCCTTGTCTGCAGCACACTGGACCTCTTCTTTGCTGGAACAGAGACAACTTCCACGACACTGCGCTGGGCTCTGCTTTATATGGCCATGAACCCAGGGATCCAAGGTGAGCTGTGGTTAAATGTGCCTGGACCCACCTACTGCCATCAGGTAGATTCTTACTCATGGCAGCCTTCCATCTGGTTTCTGAGGTTGTAAATATAGACAGAAAAGATACTCTCATCTTTCTCAAGGATCACCTGAAAAAGTCACACTGCCAACCTTTAAGTTAATAGCCCAGCATGTAACTCACTGTATACAAGACCTGCTAATCCTGGTCCCTGACAGACAAATACCTCCTGGAACACACAGTTCATGAGTTTGGGACGTCAGAGAATGCCATGGCTCTGTTCATTCACATGTGCTGTTCCTGCTACCAATAATACACTTTCTCAATTTCCATCCTTGATAAATCACATCTTCTTGAAGAATCTGATTAACTACTCCCACACGTTACTATGGATTCCTAATCTTCAAGGAAATTACTAGCATATTCTTTCTTTAGATACGAATGGAGCAAACACTTCTTTGTATAAGGGCATGTTCAAAGTGGTAAGCATCATCTTTCTCACTCAGAGCCCCTGGTGAATTCAAACCTCTAAAAAGGTAAGAGCTTCAATATAGCAGTGCAACTGTCTATAGACTACACACCAGAGCTCCCCTAGGGAAGAATTAAGAATCATGTCTTAGAGACCACCTTTACGTCTATGGAAGGAAGTAAAATGGGCTAAAAAAAAAAATAATAGAATCTTCTCCTCTTTTCCAGAGAAAGTACAAGCTGAGATCGACAGAGTACTTGGCCAATCACAGCAGCCCAGCACTGCCAGCCGAGAACACATGCCCTACACTAATGCCGTCATCCATGAGGTGCAAAGAATGGGTAACATCGTTCCCCTGAATGTACCCAGAGTAGTGACATATGATACCACACTGGCTGGATACAACCTGCCAAAGGTAAACAAGGACTCTTAGACTCAGGCCTTCAGGCTCATCTTTTTAAACAGTACGATCCTGAACTTGATAATGGCATGTATCCAGGTCCTAAGCAATCACTTGAATAAGAAGAAATACATGTTATAGTTGATAAAATATTACTTATCCTGAATATTAGATATTTTTCTGTGTTGTCATGGGGAGAGTCACTGTAGGATTCTATGGCCAATATAAAACAGAACAAAAACCTCATAAACAAATCTGTCCTGGAGGAAGTGCAACCAGAGTGCTCCTTAGAGGCAAGGATGATGAAACTTCATCTCAGATACTTTGTACATGTTATCAAAGGCAGGCAATCCTTAGAAGCAGCATCGTTCTAAGAAAGATACAGGGTCTGTGGAAGAGAAGACAATCCTCAGCGAGATGGATTGATAGTGCCTGTACCAGGGGCTGGGAGGAGCTTGCCAGAGATCATGAAGGTGGCCCAGAATTGGGCACAGCTCAGATCTGTTGTTCACAGCATAGTGATGAGTTGTAATTGATAAGGAGCACCTAACAACAACATGACAAATTGGATTTAAGAAAAGATTTACTTTTCTTCACTGGAGTACTCCTCAGAGTTTTGTTTTGTTTTTATTATATTCATTTAATTTTTAAGACAGTGATGATTAGTAGTAGGATTCTCAGCTTCTGTGTGAGAGACCAGATTCCATTTCTGGCCAAAGAACTTCAGCACAGCCACTAAGTCTCTAAGCGGTACTGTCAGAACCCACTTGATGACACCCAACAGCATGGTGATGAACAAGTTTTAATAGGGTTTCCAGATTAGGACTAAAGGCCTAGAGATCTGCTACTGTATGGATCCCACCATCCCCAGTATGTTGTCGTCCTAAGTTTGGGGATACTTGGTGTAGCTAACAGCAGCTTGCATGGTAAATCTTTGTTGGGATATAACAGGCAGGAGTTCTCAGTCATATTTGACTAAGAACTCTTTAAGTAAGAACTCTTCTTTCTCTAGTGAAATATTGCACAGGACTGGGCACTTACTGAGCACAATGCTTGAGTTATGGATGCTCAAATGTGAAAGAAATTTGAGAACCCCTGAGTCAGCATAATCTTAGTGCTGCAATTTCCACCATGATATTGACAAGTTTTCACACAAAAGCCCCACGGATATGGAACGTTGTATTGTTTTTGTTGTTTTGTGCCGTCAAATTGCCTGTGACTGATAGCGAACTTATGTACAGCAGCCCAAAACCCTGCTGTATCCTGTGTCAATCTTACTGTCTCTGACACACCTACCTCCATTACCCCAGTTGCTGAATCAATCTATCTCATCGATGGTATTCTTCTCTGGCGCTGTCCTTCCACCCTCCCAACCATGACGTACCTCTACAAAGACTGGTCCTTCCTTGCAACATGTCCAAAGTATGTCAGATAAAGCTTTAGAATCCTTGTCTACAAGGAGCAGCCTGGTTTCACCCTCTCTAGGATGAAGCTTGATAGAATCCATCTTCATAAATGCATGCTATGATTCAGAGAGCTGGACAATGACTAGGGATAATGGAAAGAGATTGATGCCTTTCAGCTTTAGTGCTGGAGAAAAGTGTTGAATATACCATGAACTGCCAGGAGAACAAACAGGTTTGTCCTGTGGGAGTGAAACCAGGTTGCTCCTTGGAGGCAAGGATTCTGAAGCTTCTACTGACATACTTTGCGTATGTTGCAAGGAGGGACCAGTCCTTGGAGAAGAACATCATATTTGGGAGAGTAGAGGGACAGTGCAAGAGAGGAAGACTCTCAATGAGATGGGTCGATTCAGTAATTGGGGTAATGGGAGTAGGTGTGTCAAAAACAGTGATGTTAGTTAGCATAGGAAAGATCAGGGTTTAGGGCTCTTGTTTAGGGTCGTTATGAATCAGAAGCAACTCAGTGGCACATAATAACAACAACATGAACCTGTTTGTTCAATACTCTTCTCCAGCACCACAGCTCAATGGCATCAGTTCTCCTTCTGTTATCCCTAGTTATTGTCCAGCTTTCTGATGCATAACAAATTAATTGCAAAGAGTATAACCTGGCACAAAGGGTATAACTAAGGCACACCTTAGTCTCCAGACTGACGTCATTGCTCTTTAGTACTTTGGAAAGATCCCTGACAGCAGACTTTCTCAATGCAATTAATCTTTTAATTTCCTGGCTACTGGCACCAAGAGTGTTAAGTGTGGAACCAAGCAAACTAAAGCTATTAATAATCTCAATCTCTTCAACTATCATGATGGTGCCAATCAGCCCAATGGTAAAAATGTTTGTTTTCTTGATGTTGTGCTTCAATCCATATTGAAGGCTGTAGCCCTTGACCTTTCACAGCAAGCACTTCAGGTCCTCCTCATTTTCAGCAAGCAGGGTTGTGTCATCCGCATAATACAGATTGTTGATGAATCTTCCTCCAATCCTGATGCCACATTTCTCCTCATAGAGCCCAGCCTTCGAAAACTCTACAATAGAGCACACTTAGCCTAGCAGATATGGCAACATAGGCTGAGGCCTGAAGTATAGAAACATAAAAGAAGAACAACAGTTGTAAGCAGACACTAGTGATTGGAACATGGAATGTGAGAACCCTGAATGTAGGAAAATTGGATACTGTTAAGAAAGAAATGGAATGCATAAATATTGACATACCAGGTATTATCGAAATGAGATGGACTGGCATGGGGCATTTTGAGTCAGATGATCCTATGATCTACTGAGACTAAAAATAAAAAATGGTGTCACTCATAGTTAAAAAAGTCATTTCTAGATCTGTCTTGAAATATAATGTTGTGACAGAAAAATATCCATACGCATATAAGGAAGTCCAGTGAATACCACCATCATCCACTCCAACAACCAAAGCCAAAGAGGAGGAAGTAGAAGATTTCTACCAACTTATGCAGTCAGAGATCAATCAAACGTGCAATCAAGATGCATTAATAATAATAGGTGACTGAAATGCAAAAGTTGGGAACAGAGAAAGATCAGTAGTTGAAAAACATGAACTTGATGACAGAAAGGAAGCTGGAAATAGAATGATAGGATTTTGCACAATCAATGACTTGCTCATTGAAAATACATTTTATAAGAAACATAAATGCCGTATATGCACATGGATCTCACCTGATGGTATGCATAGGAATCAGATCTGTGGAAAGAACCGCTGGAGAAGCTCAGTATCAGCTGTGAAAACTAGGCCAGGTGCTGATTGTGGAAAAGACCACCAACTACTCATATGCAAGTTCAAGCTGAAGCTAAAGAAAATGAAATCAAATCCATGGGAACCAAAATTTGACCTTGAATCTATCCCACTTGAATTTCAAAACCATCTCAGGAACAGGTTCTAGGTCATGAACTCTACTGAGCAGAGACCAGATGAGCTATAGGAGGATATCAAGAGTATCATCCAGGAACTTTGTATCACGAAAGAAAAATCAACCCAGGACTCTGCCATACTTAGAAAGAGTGAGAAAGGGGCAAGCATTTATCAAACAATGACTGTGTGTTGCAGATAGTTGAGGCTCTTTCAGAATGTCTCAATAGTTAGAATCAATTTTTTAAATTCCCATCCTTTATATTGGAAAGTAGAGCTTCAGTAGAAATTAAGTGCTTTAGAGCTCTTAGTTGCTAAGGTATCAGATCTGTTCTGATTTTAAAGCTCATTGTTGTTTTATTTTGCTTGTGTGTGTGTATGTGTGTGTGTGAGTGTGTATGTATGTGTATGTGTGTGTTTGTGTGTGTGTGTGATGCACCTTGTTCCCTCCATAGCAGCTGATTTAGTGTGAATTTAAAATATGAATTGCTGGACTGTTAGCTAAAAGTTCACAAGTTTGAACCCACCAATCTCTCTTTGGGAGAACTACATGCAGCCTTTTAAAAAAAGTGTATCTGCAGAAGACTCAAGCAATATCCACACCTCACTCCATATACAAAAACCAACTCAAGGTGGATCATGGATCTAGGACTAAAACCAAGGACTATAAACTTCATTAAAGAAAAGCTTGGAAGAACTCTAGTAGTCCTAATCCACAACATAAAGAGTCTTCCAAGTATCCTGAA